GTACGGTATGCCGCTTGCCGCAATGCTCGAGCATTTCCTCTTACTTTCAAAAAGTGGTCGCTCAAGATGGCTGCCATGACGTACATCCGTCCGCGGATTTACCTAGTCCTGGCTAGTATATGCTCCCTCCTGTTTCTTTTTACTCAATGAGCTTAACTATCATATAATGGTTAGGTTAGGTTCATAAAATGGTCATGCGCACATTCGATAAAGAATTTTAGAGAAAACCTGATCAGGGCACTGTTAGAATTGCCTGAATTTGGCGCTAATAGAGCAGCCATTATCCGGCGTTGACAGAGCCGGATCAGGCTTTCCACAATAAGGCATGCCGGAACATTACCTGATAGCGCCCGGAATAAAATTCAGGCAAACCGTAACCATTTTCTACTCGGGGTAGATTCGCGCAAATTAGCCGATCTTCTTTAATTAATTTCTCATTAATTATTGCGAAAATCGCAAAACGGTAGAGGACTTTTCTACTCGGTTTAACCCGCTCTACCTGCCCCCGAAAGGTGATTCAGTAATTACCGGACATCCTGTATATATGTATGTATGTATATACTTATTATACAGGGTGTCCCAGACTTACCGTATCACCCGTTAATGGCAGATTCCTGAGGTCATTTGGAGACGAAAATCTTAATGCCAAAATGTCGAGGCTACTATAGTATTTGAATAGGAAAGGTTTAAAGCTTACCAATCAGCTTGTCAGAATTTCGCGCGCTTAGAGACATCGCATCTCGAAAGGACCCTTGCACAACACTTTATTCAATACGTTTTATTCACTTCACTCATTGTTAGTAAACGTTATATTCAATATGTGTTCAGATAATGTTTTTTTATTTAATGTATTATTTGCTACGTCTATATAGAATCTGTCTTATATTGCCGTCAAACAGAAACTTGATGGCAGTGACAGTGTTTAAGTCGCTACATTGAGATTGTTATAAAAATATTAGAAGTTGTGTTAGAAGTGGTTGGTGGTTTTAGAAGAATTAATATTGAAGGATTTACAAGTTTGCTTAGAAATAAAGCAACATCTTTTATGCTGAGACCTTTAGAAAAGAAACGTATTAAAATAATTCTTAACAAAGTAAACTCTTATATTAACAATAATGCATAACATTAGAGAATTAGTTATATCATTGTACCTGGGTATTAAAAAAAGTTTTTAATCTTTTTGTAAAACATAATTCATGCATAACTAAAATGTATATTTTATATAAATTATTTGTATCCATTCGAAAAATGACATTTTTATTCGATTGTAAGATATTTATTTGTTACAATAACATATTTTTTATGAAGAATATTATTCATTGTTACAATTCGTAAACTACATAACAATTTGTTATAAATATTTATTACAAGATAAATGATTTTAAATATAATTCTACTAAAAAAAGCTGTGATATAAGGAAAATTGCAAAATTGCAGTAACACAATGCAACTTGTTAATCTTTTCTTAATATTTTTTAAAATTATGTACAATTTTTATATTTAATTTAGAAGAGCAAAGTACGAAATGTTAATCGCGAATGGGAATGCATTATATGTTATTTAAAAGGTCTCGAAAATTTTAAACATACTACCCAGTAAACAAAAAGATATCTTTTAGATGCCTAAAAGATGTCTTGCATGTCTTTTAGATATCTTAGAAATTGCCCAAAAGACCTTGAAAAGAAATCTAATAGATGTCTCATGCAACACTTTTAGACTTCTTTAAGAAATTTTAAAGATATCTTGAATTATTCTTTACGATCTTCATAAAGATATCTTTCAGACAATTTCGAGGTATCGTTAAAATATTTTAAAAATATATGTTTAAAATATGTCAAATATATATGTGTGAACGGTGTGTGTAACGGTGACATTGATGAGTGACATGTATGTATATGTCACTCAATGTTACCGTTACACATACACCGTTCACATATATATATTTGACATGTTTTAAACATATATTCAATGCATTGACATTGGGTGTTTACGATAATTCAAGTTCGAGTTAGTTTCACTAGGACCGAAAAATGAGATAGACATAACCATCTAGAACCTTTATGATTTATGACAACTCGACGCTGTCTTGTATTGCTTGAGTTAAATTAATTGAATTTGTTGAATTTATAGAGCAAATTTTATTGTAATAAAAAATGTCAACTGCAAATCAGTCTATGAAAGAAACAAATAATGTTGGTATGTATGTTGGTATACCTCTTTAATAGATATAATTATATATATATGTATATAATTATATTTATTGAAACTCAACAAATTCAATGAATTTAACTCAAGCAATACAAGACAGCGTCGAGTTGTCATGAATCA